GCACATCAGTCCCCTGGCTCACATTCTAACCATGTGCCAGCCCAGCTTGTGACCTTCAGCAAGGCATTACTATTCTCTGTGCCTGTTTCCTCCTATATGAAGTGAGATAGCGAAGGACGCCCATGATGACACAGAAGACGTACACCCCAGTCTAATTCTAATTTATAAAATCCTTAACACCATTCTAAATTACCATGTTGGAAAACATAAGAAAAAAGAAGAGACAGGCGGAGAAAACAAAATACTATTAGGAAGGAGACTTAAAGAACCATCCATTTGCAATGTAGCTAAAATTTGTCTTTGAATGGATAACCAGTGCATGCCAAGCTCCTGACAAACTATGACATCATCTCCACCCCAGGTTCTAAAAACTATCACTGATAGCAATTTAGGATGTTTTACAAACACATTAGTAAATCTAGTTGACTGTGACTGCCAAAATTCTCTTGCTTGCCCATTAAAATATGGAAGTAGATTCCACATAATCCCCAAACAATGCAGAGATAAAGTAGAGGGCAAAATATTGGTACTAGTTCAAGCAGAACAAGCAGAAGCCTGTCACTGCATATTTATGCCAACAGAATCTCATCACTCAACTTAAAACCATAAAATGGGTCTCAGTTTAGTGCAATACTCTGTACCACTCCACCAGATGAAATGTCTACATTGTTCCATAATCACACAGCAGTTATTGCCTTGTGACTGTCTCCCCACAAGCATCATAGGCACTCCAAATAATAAACTTAAGGTCTGTTTTTAGATCAAGTATTTCTTCTTTTGGGTCAAATGTGTCCTTTTCATTTTTTGCTACTGGTACATGGGCCTTCCTTACCCAAATCACAGCTCTGGAGAGTGGGAGGACATCAGCCTTGCCCGCTATTGCTATGGTCACTTGTCCGTGGCACCACTGAATTCAAGAGACAGCGTTGAAGCACACTGCCTCAAGTCACAGTTTCACCGTTCCTGTGTCTCAGCACAGTACTGCACGTTTTAGTCCGTACAAAATTCCTGCCTTGATTCTTATCCCAGGTTGTGATAACTAAAGACAAATAGTTTGTTGAGTTTTGATATCACACAAGAGAATGAAAACAATTTCCCTTTTGCTGCTGTTAAGTATCTCTGAAATAAAACTTTTTAATGTTCAATCAATTCCCTAACCCCCAAATTTTGATTCTCATCGAAATAAATGCATTTTCCAAAAGCAGGAGTTCTCACACCAGTTTGTTGGTACCCATCTCACCTGCGTGTGCGGTACAGATCAAGTCTAGAAAGCTGTGTAAGGGAATCACATGGCAGGGAAGTCTGCATGTGGTCCATGGGCCAGACTCTCAATGACGCCGTGACATGTCTTAACATTCAGTGATTTAGAAAAGAATCTTATCTCATGATCTCCTATCCCTCAGCAGAGGATGAAGGAGAAGAGTGGGTGTGCACAGAGTGAGATTCTGAAATGTGTTTCAGTGAAAGCTAGCATCCCACATGCTTCTCAGTGATGCTTGCTGAATACTCTCAGTAGCTCATGGCCGAGCCTTGCAAAGTAGACACCCCATTTGGCATCTCAGATGCTGAGTAGGTCTTGGGTTTATGAGTCAATCAAGAAGGAAGCAACTGGTAGGAGCTCCTTGTGGCTACAACATCCCACTGAAACATAGTCTAGGTTATAAGCTACAACCTTCCTGGACAAGTACCCTTCTAGTGCCTATCCAAAAGCTGGCATTTCCAGAGAGATGCTGTAGAAGAATATGTATCTGGAGGTCAGCAGTCGTTACATTGGTCACCTGCTATAATTTGTCTGAATGGAAGCTCTGGTCAATGCTCCTCGCTTCTGGAAGCTCTTCCTTCTAGAAGACTTCTTCTCCAGGAGAATTCCTCTTGGAATTCCTATTTATGCTTCAAAACTCAGTTTAAGCTCACTATCAACTTCTCTAAAAGCCTTCAAGACCATACACGCACTCCAATATGACTTAGAAATCCTTTCTCCCCCCTCACAATATCTAAATGCCATTCCAAACATGTTACTGTCCTATGAAAAAATTTGTGTTTGAGGAGCCACAGAATGGAACCACACTTTGTTCAATTGTATTTCAGATCTAACTGATTGAAGGTACATAAGAATTAGAGAATATTTTAAAATTAACTTTTTAAACAGATTTATTTTTCATTTACTGTCCATAACTCTGTGTATATATGCCCACACATATGTGGGTGTCTGCAGAAGCCAGGAGTTTCTGGTGGTTGCCAGTGGTCTGACATGGTGCTGGGAAATGAACTCCAGTTTAGTCCTTTGCAAGAGCATCAAATGCTCTTAACCACTGAGCCCTGTCTCTGGTTCCATAATAACTAGCATTTCCATTGTTACTTAAGGCCTTACACAGGGCTCCTAAGATAGAACAAAGCTTCTTAAGACAAGAGTCTCCAGAGACTAATGTAAAGTTTACCCATATCCTCTCCCAAGTCTTGCAAATCTCTCTCAGTCTTCTCATGCTGACTGGGGTGGTTTGAAAGAAAATGGACCCCAAAGGGAGGGGCATTGTTAGGAGGTGTGGCCTTGTTGAAGTAGATGTGGTCTTGTTGGAGGAAGTGTGTCACTGTGGAGGTGAGCTTTGAGGTCTCATATATGCTCAAGATACTGCCCCATGTCTCAGATCACTTCCTGTTGCCTGTAAGAAGTAGGCTCTCAGATATTTCTCCAGTATCATGTCTGCCTGCATGCCGCCATGTTCCAACATGATGATTATGGAGTGTAGTTGAGCCATTCCAATAATTAAATATTTTTCTTTATAGGAGTTGCCATGGTCACAGTATCTCTTCACAGCAATAGAAACTCTAACTAAGACACTGGCCATAAAGGATGAGTACAGTGACTTGGACCATGAATAAGGGAAAAGAGGCCACAAAGTCTATGCAGGATCAAAACATCACTTATCTAAGCAGAACATCAGTGTTCATGTAATCTGGAACACTCACGGAAGTTAGGATAAACATCAGTTTTCTTGTTGATTCCAGTCATGTCAAAACATCTATAAAATTCAAAAGAGCTAGGAAGAATACTTTTCAGTCATTTATCTCACCTCCTGCATACTTATTGAAATCAGCACTAATGGATTCTGTAGCATGTGGACCAAATCACATATCAAGCTATTGAGAAACAACCCCGATATCCTAATTTGTAATTTATAGGTGGCTGTAAATCTTGCTTATCTCACATTCCTAATCTAGAACCTTTTAAAAAGCTGTAGAGTCTGTAGACAAACTCATGGGTCACATTTTCGCTTTACCTTCTGTGGTGGCTGTTGTTCATTGCCAGACAGATTAGATTTGGATCTAAAATCACCAAGGGAGGACACTTTTGGGTGTGTCTATGAAGGATGTGTCCATGAAAGAATCGTGAAGACCTACTCCGATTATACTCGGTACTGTTGGAGTCCCTGGACAGAGTAGAAAGTAGACAACAACATCTATCTCTCTGTGTTCTGACTGTGAATACAATAGGACCTCAGGCTCCAGCAGCCAAGACTTCCTCCTCCTGCTCCTGGTGCTGAACCACACCCTTGAACTGTGAGCTCCTCTTCCCCAACATTGCCTTTGTCAGCACACCTTTTGCTAATTCTGTGGTTTTGAGTGAGTTTCAGTAATTTCTTCTCCACTTCCTAACTTCTGGTAAATACGGTAAGGTTTTAAAAAATTAAATAGTGCATGAAAAAAAACCAAAACCATATGTAGAAGATTTCTTCTGCGAATCAAGCAGGAAAAGACTTGAGATTCTTCTGGCATGGAGTGGTTAACTAACACACACACACACACACACACACACACACACACACACACACACACACACACACACACGCACGCACGTACGCGCGCCGGGTGCAAACCTGGCTCCCCAATGTTCTCACACAGCACACTCTTCTTCGTGGAAGCCGTCACGTATGGCAGGGTGCAGAGCGAGGCAGTGTGCCCACAGTGCTGTACTGTGCCTGTTTGTTTTCGCACTTCACTACCTCTCCTACCAGGTACTGTTAGCCTGCCAATTCCTTCCTCCTCTCCCCGGCCATCTCTGCTTTAAGGTGCCTCTGGTCTGGGGACAGTTCCCTTCAAAACTGTTCCAGGGTGACCTGAGTTGTTATTCTCAAGGATGAGGGGCTTGTCTGCCAACCTGATAGCTAGTCTTTCCTGGCAAGTTTTTACTTCTGTAGACCATCAAGAGCTCTTCTGGCCAGCTCTACCACTAATGCTTGGATTTAAAGGTGTGGAACCCGGACTGAGGTCTAGAACAGAAAGGGGACAGACCTCCATTGATTCCAGGTCCTAATCCACAGCAAACACAAGGGGACCAACCTGACAAAACTCGGCTGTTTATCCTCCCCAAAGTGGCTCCATACTTCCCCAGAAGAAACCCCGGAGTACCTCACAGCAGTTTGCATCTGTAGCAGGAATGAGTCCTAGGACACTAAACAGGCAGGAACCTTCTGGAGCTCCCAAGAAGACCAGTCCACAGTGTGGTATGATTGGAAAGACTCCAAACAAAGCAACATATTCTCCATCCCTGGGTTCAGGTACCCCAGGGAAAAACCAAGAAACCAAGTTAAGCAGGGAGCAAGAGCTTAGCACCTGCAAGTCAGGGAGCCTCATTCTCCACTCCTCCAGCCTCTGCGGACCGCTTTGCCAGTCCAACTTAAGTTCTGTGTGTTCATCTGGAGGCGACAGAAACTCTTCTCTCTCCCTTCCTTTCCTGGCTTGGGGGTACAGAACAAACCTCGCGACTGAAAGGGAGGGTTTGAAAGTCTTCCTAAGGAGATCTCCTCAAGTCCCTTACCACCGGTGAGGCAGAAGAGGGGGACGAGGAAAATCAAGGCCACGGGATTCTCGCCCATATCTCGCCCTCATCTCCCTCCGGGTCCCACCACCCGCCCGGTCCAGAACCCACAAGAGCAGCAACGGCGTGTGCGTGCCAGGCTGCCCTCGTCCTCCGGGGTGGCCCGGGACCCCTACCCGCTCACCAGATGGCCATCCTGCTCTTGGGATAGTCCAGCCGCTCCAGGCAGCCGAGGAAGTGAGGCAGCGTGTGCGCGGCGTTGCGGGCGAGGACAACCACGAGCACCGTGGGGCTCTGTAGGGGCGACTCGGGGAACGCCACCGTTTCCTCTCCGTCCTCATCCGAATCGGGCTCGGCAGTGAAGCGCGCCCGGCAGCCGCGGCGGAGCAGGGCGGAGGACAGCAGCAGCAGCGCGCAGGCGACGGTGGCGCGGCGTGCAGCCATGTTCCGCGGCTGGCGGGAGGCGGCGATGCTGCCGGTGGCGCCGGGGATGCGGCTGCCCCGGAGCCGGCGGGAGCGCGCACGGGCACCGACTTCTGTAGCTCGCGGGACCCGCTGTCGCCCAGTCCCGGCCGGAGTCCCCAGCACACCGACTCCCCCGCCGCTCGCGCTCGCTCGCCCTGCGCTCCGCCCCGCGGACCGACAGGTCGCCACTGTGAGAATGGTCGTCCACGGAAAGTTCCCCTAGTCAGAGCTGCGCTTGTACAGCTGAGGTCTGCGGCTTCCTCCGGAGCTGTGAGGTGTGGCCCTGTCTGCCAATGGGCGTGTGTGTGTGTGTGTGTGTGTGTGTGTGTGTGTATGTGTGTGTGTGTGTGTGTGTGTGTGTGTGTGTGTGTGTGTGTGTGTACATAACGGTACAACCCCAAGAAAATTTACTCTGCAAACCACAGTCTGAAGTCCTTCACGGTGACGCGATGGATCCAGGATTTCATAAAGCACCTATTGACAGATTAGAGTTTTGAAATGGGACGTCTCCCCAACCACCCAGGACTGTGAGAAACAATGTTATAACTCCCACAGAGGCAAAATGCTTGTGTTTCAGATACACTTCTCCTGAAATTCATTCTTGACAGAATAAACACCTCAAATCAGAACCCTGAAAATAAAAAGTCCCAATGGAACACCATTCCGGGGCCCTTCTTTTCAAATAAGGTTTCAGTAAGAGCTCCTAACAGCTGGGCTATCTCTCCAGCCCTGGGAGTCCCTTCCTAAGTGAAGAGGTGTGGAAGAAAAGATCCATGTGTCCCCCGCCCCGATAATGACCCAAACTGCCAAGAGTAGGAAGACCCACGTGCCAGAGGGAGGGGAAAGAATGAAGCCCAGAAGAAAGGGTAAAGGTAGAACACGATCGGCGGGCAAAATGAAACCGCTTGCATTCTCAGAGATTATTTACCCTTGAAGATAACACAGGACCAGAGTAACTGTGGCATGAAAACCAGCCTTTGATCTGTGTGCAGGCTAACTGTGGACCCTGGAAGTTCGCAACCATCACCGCCAGGCCAACAAGCCCTCAGCTCCGACCTGAGGCTTCTTCTTACTGATTGTGTTGTTCTTTCTCCACAGCTCTCAGAAGGCCTCTATTTGCTCTTCTCCGCTCTCAGCTCCGACCTGAGGCTTCTTCTTACTGATTGTGTTGTTCTTTCTCCACAGCTCTCAGAAGGCCTCTATTTGCTCTTCTCCGCTCTCTGGACTTTCAACTGGTCCGTTTGTAGCAGCTCCCTTCCCTCACACCAAAACTTAGGCCCTTTTCACATCATTGAAAGTTTCTTACTATAGCCAGGCCATGGTAGCGCATGCCTTAAAATCCCAGCACTTTGGAGGCAGAGACAGGAGGATCTCCTTGAGATCGAGGCTAGCCTGCTCTACAAAGCGAGTTCCAGGACTTCCAGGACCGTCCCACGGAGAACCACTGTCTCAAAAAACCAACCAACCAACCAACCAACCACACACACACACACACACACACACACACACACACACACACACACAAGAAACAAAAACAAAACAAAACCCTTATTATAAACATAGGTAGACATAGTGGCCAGGCTTTTCATTCCAACACTAAGGACTTGGAAGTGTCTTAGCAGGGTTGTGTAGGACCCTGCTTGTGAAACAACGATAGTAACCTTTGTCTCCTAGTGGCCCTCTATTGATCAAGCTCTGAGAAGGAGGAGGCAGCACTGCCTTCCTCTGTTTCTTCGTCTCCCTTTCTCCGCCACAGCAAAGTGTGCCTTTAGCATGCCCTCCCCACTGAGACTAGTCTGGTACTTACAAATGCAGTGAACTCGTTCCAGTTCTCAGCTTTCCAGACCTGTGCTATGCAAGCTCCACTCGTTCAGATTCTACTCGTTTACAAGTTCCTTTGTATCTCAGTCACTGTTGCATTGCTGTGAAGAGATCCATGACCAAGGCAGCACTTAGAAAAGAAAGCATTTAACCTGGAACTTGTTTCCAGTTTCAGGGGGTTAATCATTGTCATCATGGTAGGAGCGTGGTGCTGGAGAAGTAGCTGAGAACTACACCCTGATCGAGAGAGAGAGAGAGAGAGAGAGACTGTCCCGACCCACAGGACACTCATCGTGGGTCTGGTGGGCACCTAGGGAAAAGATGGGGGGCAGGGGATACAAGGACAGACGCCAAGACAAGAGTCTGATCAAGGCGACAACTTTATTCATCCCAAAGGGATTTATATAGGGGGAGGGAAGAGGCAAAGGAATGGGGGATGTGCTGTAGCTGTAATGAACCTGGCAGAGCAGAAGGTCAGTGGGATGGGTAGGGCATCTTGTGTCCTCTGGTAACCTAACTGCAGACTCTAACTTTATCTTTCACAATCCACCTTCTATTAAGCCTATGCCCTAGATAAGCCGCAGGTCTGTTTCTGGAATTTGGCAGGGAGCAGGGTGGTCCCGAGTCACGTACTTTCTATGAGGGGCTTTTCTTATGAGTACGTGAGTAGCAGTACCTGGTTGATGGCCGGAGGTCCCTGACAGAGAGAGAAAGAGAGAGAGAGAGAGAGAGAGAGAGAGAGAGAGAGAGAGAGAGAGAGAGAGAGAGAGAGCCTAGATTTGGCTGGGCATTTGAAACCGCAAAGCTCATCACCAGTGAAACACTTCCTCCAACAAGGCCATGCCTACTCCAACCAGCAGGGCAAACTCCAAATTCTGCATCTCCAACTCTGATGCCAAAGTGCCTTTTAGATCTCCAGTTCCTTCCAGTTTTGTTGGGAGTGTAACATACTCCTCTCACTTGGGCTGGTTCCACATCCAGTCTGCAGCTCTCCTTGGCAGGTATCTCATTATCTCCAACATCTTGGGGTCTCAAATCAGCTCCACATGATGACCTCTCCGAGCCTACACACAGTGGCATCCCTGATGCACTGCTGGCCTCTGCAGCTTTCTTAGCCATGGAGGAAGATTCCATATCCCCTTTCATGTATTCTTGACTCTAAAGCCAGAGCCAAGTGGTTAAAGCTGCCAAGTTCTGCTACTTCAGGGGATGGAATTCGTTTCCGTTGTAAAATTACATTTGCATCATCTTTCTGCTGTAGATTGTTTCCCTAACTGCTTAAGCTTTTCTTTAATTCCTTTTCACAAGTTGAAAGCTTAGCTAGGCAGGGTTTTGTCCTTGGGTCCCTACTCCCCTTATTCCACTTAACATCAGGCTTTTCTTTAAATTTATCTTCCTGAGCACTGGACCTTTTGTCTTCTATATTACATTTCCTGGTGCTCCCTTCCTCCTCAAACTGTATATTTTATATTTTCCTTGCTCTGCTTGCTCCTTTTCATTATAGATTTGTATGAGAGTGACTGCTAATAACCAGAAGACATGGTCACTAACAGGCTGCCTTGAAATCTCTGCCAATGCCATTAATCCCAAACTCTTCAATTTAGCCTCAGGACGATTTTTAGGACAAGGGAAAAAAGCAGCCATATTTTTGTGATGAAATATCATAAGAATAGTCTTTAGGCTACTTATTAATGTTTTTCCCCTTTGGAATTTCTTGACCTAGGTCATTATAATTTATATTGCTCTTAGCATCTTCCATGCTCCTACTAGGATGTTCCAGTAATTCCTGCTTAAAATGTTCAACCATTTCTAGTCCAAGGTCTCAAAGTCTTCCTAGAATAAACAGGCCTCTCATAACAATACCCACTCCTGGTACCAATTTCCATCTCAGCCACTTCCGTATGTTCTCCCTTTTACTTGGTCAGTGTAGTCTGCAGGCAATTTCATTCTCAGAATCTGTCCCCTGCCCTAACCCCTTTCTGTGGAGTTTATACTTAAATGACTAATGGGTTAAAACCTTGTCTCCTGCTGTAACCATTTTCTATGGTGTTTATACTTAAGTAACTAGTGGGTTAAAATCCACTCCACACCTTCCCCCCCCCGCGCCAATAGGAAACATCCTCACTCTCAGAGACTCACCAGCTTGCAGAAGACACTAAGTGAAACCACGGCAGAAGTATGTTCCAGCTACAGCAGAGGAACATGGGTGATAGTGGCAGGACCTTTTAGAAGGGTTTCACAGAGATGTTCTCTCTTCCTTTCTCTTCTTTCTTGGCCAGTGTCCACTCAACTTTCATAACTAAGATCCCCTTACTTTAAGGAATACTTGCCATTTGTTCATATGCTCATCTTACTACAAACTAAGCGAGTTAAAACTAAGACATCATATTACCTCCGTATTTCCTTCTGTTACCTTGTCTTAGCTCTTTTTTTTCCCCAATAAATGTGAAGGCCAGAGATTGACAGCAACTGTCTGTTTCAGTTGCCAGTTGCTCTCCACTGAATACAGAATTTACTCCTTCTTCTAGTAGGTCTGTCCAGGAGCTTTTCCATGCCCTATCACAAGCATTACAGATACATCCCAGTCTACCAGCTTATGCATGGATGCTGAGGACACTGACTCAGGTCCTCATGCTTAGACAGCAAGCATTCTACATACAAAGCTGTCTCCCAAGTCCCGAAATCATTTTAATATCATGTTTTCAATTTGTATGTATTTAGTGTAGGTTTATAGCCAGCTTTCTTTAGAGAGGCTGAAAACTCACTTTGGAAGCAGATGTTGATAAAGTGGCTGGAGATAAGATGTGTTGGAGAGCTATGATTTGATTTTGATGCTTTTTCAAAGCCAGCTATTGTTTAAGCATGCATGTCTACATCTCTTTACAAAAATACCAGACTATTTTTGTGCACTATAAAGTATTTATTAAACACAAGCTGTATTATAAACCAATATAATCTAAAAACAATGTGTCAGTTTCAACACTACTAACTGATTGCCCAGCACCTAACTTGAGAAACATAATGGCCACCAACCTGAAGCCCATTGTGTGTCTCTTCTTGTCACATGTGTTATCCCCAGGCACGAGCAGCAGGTTGAGCTTTAGGTTACTCAGTGTCTTTATTTTGTTTGGATTTCTTTTTCCTATGATTAGTTTTTATGTGTCAGCTCAGCTAGGCAGGGGTGTCCTATTATTTAGTCCAAACAGCATAGAGACTCCTGTGAAATAATTTTTCTTTTTGATATGATTAACAATCAATGCAGTAAACTTTTAAGCTAAGCACATTTCTCCTTGTATTGTGGCTGAGCCTCATCCAATCTGCTAAGGTCAAGGGAAAAGGACAGTATTCCAAAACAAGGAAGAAGCCATGCTACCAGATTGCCTTTGGATTCAAGGCTGTAACATCACCTATCTCCTGGGGTTCCCCCCAGCCAGTCCAAACCTGCCCTACAGACTTGATGCAGACTTGAAACTTTTTAGCCCCTCTGATCACAACATCCCCACCCCATATTTTGTAAGCAAGAACAGAGATGGGATGATTGGAGGGCTCTAAATTGATGGAGGATGTCCTTCTGTATGCTGTGAATATATGCTTCTCTTATTGGTTGATGAATAAAGCTGTTTCGACCAATGGACAGTGGAGTCAGGGAGACAGGCAGCTGCCTTGTAAGCAAGAGACCTGGGCATCACTGAAGATACCCAGATTAAAAGAAATGGGTTAACAATTAAGAGAGAGCTAGTCAATAAAAAGCCTGAACCATTGGACAATTTATAATTAATGTAAGCCCTTGTGTGTTTATTTGTAACAAAAAGGCTGCAGGATGAGGCAGGACAGAAACTTCCATCACAAGTTGTTATTTAAGCATTAAATGCATCTCTTTATCTACGGAAGTACCCATTTATCATCCATCCGTGCTGTTTCTCCATCTGGCTTTAAGCTCAGATTGTTCCTGCTTTGGCTTCCCAAGCTCTGGTAGTACACACACATATTGTGCCAATCCATCATATTCTGTTCATTGCATACTTTCTCAAGCAGTTTACTCCATGTTTTAGAGTAAGAAAATTCTTAGATACTGTATCAGAGCTGGCTCATCAACTATTAGGAAACAACACTTTGCACCACAACTTAGCGATGGCTTTTTCTCTTGAGACTGACTATCCGTGGATAGATATTACTGACTTTTTTTGTAGGAACAAAATGATCTGGCTCAAATATCAGCCTGGGAAATCAGCTCTGCAAGTGCCAGATTACTCAGAACATAATATTCAGGAGGGAATCGGATTCACTGCTACTTACTTACGGACTTTTCTTCTAAGCCCCTCAGTACTCTAATCTAATGAACTGTTGAAGCACTTACAAATGGAAAATTCCGGCAGACTCTACCCTGCTTTCTGGTAGATTTCACTCTAAGCTTGCTACAGGAGTCCTTCTGATTCTGTGCTTTAATTCTTCTTGCTCATTCTTAGCCATTCCTAACCAGCAAGAACTGCTTTAAAAATCTTCATTTCTTAATCTGGCAGCAAAAATTCCATTTTTATTCAACTCTTAAATAGTGAAATTAAAAGTCAGAAGCACTCCCTATACACGTGTGCCTATATCATTATTTTTCTAGACAATAGAATTTAATCTTGAATAAAAAGTTTCTAGTGCTTTTTTTACCCTTTCAGGTTTCTCTTTCTCCTCCACTCCTCCACTTACCCTTTAACCTTTAAATGTAAGGTAGAAAAATCTTTCATTGAAGGTGTTTGGAAGTCTTGTTCACATAGGGTCTAATCTCTTTAGATCTGCGTCCTGAATTACAGGATCCCCTTTCTCAGATTAGCAACCGAATGTTACACCTCTTTGACTGATTTAAGTCTTTAGGAGCCAGAGAGAAGGGTTTATTCATTTCTAATCACTTGAACTAGTTCCAGTGTTTGGTGCTCCAGGGAGCCTCCTAATTTTAATACTGTTTGCTTTGAGGGAGCTTAATAGCTGTTTCGTGGAGGCAAAGATAATGATTCCCTACAGATATAACATATTCAAGGGAAACTTAACGAATCTTTGTAGGTAGAGTTTCCTTGTATTTATTATTCTGAAACATTCGAGGTTTTCTCTTTTTCTTTCATTTTCAGCAGCTTGGAACAGTGTGAATTCATGCCTCTTTTAATTGATATTCATCGATCATTTTGTACCGCTAACAGTTTTTATTAAAATTGTGAAATTTTTGGCCATCATTTCTTCAACTTTTCTACCCTTTTCTGTATGTTAGTCCACTACTATGTAACACACCTCTAAGACTTTTCTCACTCGCTGTGTGTTTGTTTATTGTGTCAAGGTGTTGTCTTGTATCCCAGGTTGAACTAGAACTCCCTCTGTAGACTGGTCTGGTCTCAAATTCAGTTCTCCCGGTTTAGCCTTCTGCATACTGGGATTGCAAGCATTCACCACCCTGTCTAGCACTTAGCTGCCTCCCACCCCTTATAAAAGTATCTGTTCACGTCTCCTGACTTCTGTTCCTCTGGCATCAGCTTCACCTACCTCTTCCTCCATGATTCCATTTTGGCTGTCAAAATTCGCCCACTGAAAAATATTTATTTCTGAAATTGAAATTGTCATCTTCAGTTGCAGAATGCCCATTGGATTTTTAATTTTTTTTCTTTGCTGAAATTTGACTTTTGATATTTCCATGAAAACATGTTTTGCTGCACTTCATTGCTGATGTATGTCACATTGAAATCTTGCTTATTTCAACACAAGATTCTTTTTCTTTGTTTTTGGTCTTCTTTTTTTTTTTTTTTTTTTTTTTTTGGTTTTACGAGACAGGGTCTCTCTGTATTGTTTTGGAGGCTGTAGGTCCAGCCGGGCCTCAAACTCACAGAGATCCGCCTGCCTCTGCCTCCCGAGTGCTGGGATTAAAGGCATGTGCCACCACCGCCCGGCTGGTTTTGGTCTTTTTAAGGCAGGGTTTCTTTGGGTAGCCTTTACTATCCTGGAACTTGATCTGTGGAGCAGGCTGGCCTTGAACTCAGAGATCTACCTCTCTCTGCCTCCTGAGTTCTCAGAAAGCCATGTGCCACCACAACACAAGATTTTTAATCCATTGTGTTTTGTTTTTCATATGTAATTTTTTTTAAATTTTATTTTACATATCAACCCCAGTTCCCTCTTACTCCCATCTCCCAACGGTACCCCCATCCCATCCTGCATCCTCTCCCCAGGGAGGGTGAGGCCTTCCATGAAGGATCATTACAATCTGTCACCTCATTTGGGGCAGGGCCTAGGCCCTCCCCATCCATTGTGTTTTGAAGTACTGAAATACATTTGGGGCAGGGCCTAGGCCCTCCCCATCCATTGTGTTTTGAAGTGCTGAAATACCCTGCCTAGTACTTTTAATTTTGGAAGCCTTTTTGGTCAGCTTAATATAGTCAGTGTCTTTGTAATCATTCCTTGCTTCCACCCATCTTCTCTTCAGTCTGTCCTCATAGCTCGAAGTGATGCTGTTAATATGTACCAGGAACCTCCACTGACTCCCTTTCTTACTCGGGGTCAATTCAAATCCACTTGCCATGTCCTACTCATCTGTGGGAAGGTACTGGTCTTTGGCTCTTAAGTCACATGCATACGTTAGTTTTCAATAGTCCATCCACACCTCACGTTTAAACTAATCTTGAAAGGTGAGCTCGCTCTAAAACTACGTTTTTATTTTAAACTTCGACGGTAGGGAATTGATTGGGGCCTTTTCCTGTTCTCAGGAATTTAAGACCAAGATAGAATCCTTCATTTCTCAGGCGAGAATATGAACTTAACAATGGAGCTAGCTGAAGGACTCTGAAGTCAGGCTGTTAGCGAACTTCCTCCACTCTATCACCTGCCCAGATTGGGGAGAAAAACAAACAAACAAACAAACAAACAAACAAACAAATGATGGGGCGGGGTGGTGGTGGTGGTGGCGGTGCCAAGGGCGTGGCGGGGACTGGAGCGCGTGCGCGCAGGTGCGAGCACCCTCGGGCAGGGGGCGTGGCCCGCACTCTCCGCCCCGTGTGTGCGGCGGGAAGCGGAACTGCGGAGCGCTGGGCTCGGCTTCTGGCCGGGCGGGCTTCGCGCGACACCACTGCTCTCTGCGCGGGCAGCATGGAGGAGCACGGCGATTCCGAGCCAACCCCGGGATGTAGCGGCCTTGGCCCGGGTCCCGTTCGCGCTGGCGGCGCCACCCCCCACACGTGGGCTCCCGAGGACGCCTGGATGGGCACACACCCTAAGGTCAGGAGGCGCGAGGCCAGTCGGGCGCCGACCCGGCCCTCCTCACAGCGACTCCTCTGGGCCGTGTCCGGCCGGCGGAGGACGCTTGCCAGCCTCCCGGCGGGGGCGACCCCTGCGCAAGGCCGCAGATCGCCCGCAGTATCATTTTTGTTTGTTTATATGACTAACACCGTGCCTCTCACTCTGCCAGAGCCGCTCTTATCCAGAGGCCTCTGATAAGCATACCTGTTTTTCCTATCTAGTCCTTTCTGGGGTGAACTGATTGAATCCACGGTTAGCCGATCTGCGGGCTATGACTGAGACCTAGGAGTCCACAAATAATGTGCTTAGTTAACCACAGTCACATTCCACGTAGCCTTAGGCCCAAAGTGTGTGCGCCGTCATTCTGTATGGAAACGGAATCCCATTTTTTTCGGATTTCTTAGAAACTGAATAAGTTCTTGCACAGGGCAGAGCTGTTCATGTTGCCAGTTTTACTGTATTGGCCTCAAGGAAAATAAGGATAGCCTTTTCCTAACCTCTGCTTCGGAAATCGGTGGTTTGTATCCGAAAAACCACAAACAGCATGCTGATAACGAATGCAGGTTCTATAAGGATCTTGAGGATTGGATTGGTACATTAATAAAATGGCAACTTTTCCTTTTGCGTTATGAACTCAGATAAGCGTCTAAATATTCAAGGAAAGGAAATATTTGAAAGTACAAATCTGAAAAGATGAGCCTTTCCCTACTTCCTGAAGCTTGATGTTTTCTTGCTCTCTTCCGTTCATCTTCTCCATAAACAATAGCATGGAAATGTTATAAATTTAACAAATTATAATAATGGGGGAGGAAAGAAGAGAGGCAGAGACAGTGGCTAGTAGCCTGGACTCCAATTCAGACTTCTCCATTTTGAATCTTATTTCTGTTACCAACGTTGACTTTTTTTTGTCATTGACTCATTGTGTCTTGTGCTTCAGTCTTTTGACTTGTCTCAGTATATCACAGTCTCTTCATTTAAAAACAGGCATAATAGTAGTACTTAACCTCATAGGGACAGTTTTGTAAGATGTTTGACATATCAAAAACACTATATAAGTATCTACTAGTAATCTTTTAAAATTGCATCTAAGACTGGGCGGTGGTGGCGCACGCCTTTAATCCCAGCACTCGGGAGGCAGAGGCAGGCGGATCTCTGAGTTCGAGGCTGGGCTGGACCGACAGCCTCCAAAACAATACAGAGAAACCCTGTCTCGTAAAAACCAAAAAAAAAAAAAAAAATTACATCTAAGTCTGATATTGCCTTTAGACAATTTCCTTTCTTGCAGGGTCTTTTTTTTTCTTTGATGCTAATGACTGTCTGTCTAGACCTACTATCAAATTTTCCTGTTGATACTTTTTTCTTCTAGGATCAACAAATTGATATAAAAGAGAAAAGAAATAATGTGTATTTTACAGTTATACCCTTTAGTTACTTAATTTGAAGACCGCTTAATAAGATGTTACTGGATTTTCTCATTTACAAGCTTATTATTTTATTCATTGAATCAGAAGTCCGCACTACTCCACATGGATAAAATTCATGATTGATTTCTCACATAGACTTTGTAGCCTGACCCAAAACTATGTCTCTGTCATGCATTGTCAAGCACTTCTGAGGTGTGGGACAGGCAAAGCCCTCCTATCCAACCTGTATGTGTACCATTCAGTGGATGGAAGAAGGCGACAGCAGGCCTGCAGCCCCCTCCAAGGGTCTGCAGCTGTCTCATCTGTGAGTCAGCTCTGTTTATGGACCTGCCCACTGACACGTTTGAATGCCCAAGGCTTTCTCTGCAGGAGTAGGTTTCTGAGTTTTTCCTGTAACAAATAGCAAGTCTGAAAGAAGTTGTTTGCTTCTTCTTTTTTTTTTTTTTTTTTTTTTTTTTTGGTTTTACGAGACAGGGTCTCTCTGTATTGTTTTGGAGGCTGCCGGTCCAGCCCAGCCTCAAACTCACAGAGATCCTCCTGCCTCTGTCTCCCGAGTGCTGGGATTAAAGGCGTGCGCCACCACTGCCCGGCTAAGTTGTTTGCTTCTTAAACCTCAAGTAAATCGAGAGTGGGAGTGCAGAGGAAGTTAGTATAAGTTTTTCTGTATGCAAATTAAAAAGACCAGAGAAATAGAGGCTTCCCATAGCATAACCCAATCAAAGTCGTATTTAAATTTTCTCTGACCCTGGTGGATATGTATCTTTATTGACTCTTGAATATATGTAGCTTATTCTCACTTTCCATAATTACTCACACCATTACTCTTCTTCTCCGTGTACTCAATTTATATTATATTTATGCATTTAGTAAATACTTGTTAAATGAAAGAAAACAGTGAGCTATTTCTTTCTCTATTTAACAATTGTGTTTTGATTTTCAGTACCTAGAAATGATGGAATTAGATATAGGAGATGCCACCCAAGTTTATATAGCATTCTTGGTTTACTTGGACCTCATGGAGAGTAAGTTGCTTGTTTATATTGCTTTGTTATTGGGGTGTGGGAGGTTGGGAAATTTGGTTGTCATATAGCATTGTTCACATATAATAAACGAACATTTTTCATTTACTAGTAACTTTTCCAGTTAATTTTACACTTCTTTGTTCATTTACATTGGGAATTATAAGGCTGTAGAAAAGATCAGAAAAGCAGAAGAGAGGATTATATATCATGAGTGGTTTGTTCTACTGAGTATTAGAAATTTAGAATGCTATCTTTTGTTTTCAATGAATGCATTCTTGATGCTTTTTCAGGTAAAAGTTGGCATGAAGTAAACTGTGTAGGAATACCAGAACTACAGCTTATCTGCCTCCTTGGCACTGAGATAGAAGGGGAGGGGCTACAGACTGTGGTGCCTACACCCATTTCTGCTTCCCTCAGCCATAGCAGGTGAGTGAGTACTTTAGTCTTAGTGTAACAGATCCATTGCTTATTAGATGGTTTGTGCTTTCTCCTTCTTCTTCTTCTTCTTCTTCTTCTTCTTCTTCTTCTTCTTCTTCTTCTTCTTCTTCTTCTTCTTCTTCTTCTTCTTCTTCTTCTTCTTCTCCTTCTCCTTCTCCTTCTCCTTCTCCTTCTCCTCCTCCTCCTCCTCCTCCTCCTCCTCCTTCTTCCTCTTCTGCTTCTTCTTCTTCCTCTTCCTCTTCTTCTTCTCTTTTATAAGTTCTTTATATGTTTTTACCCATAATCTTTTATTGGCCCTATTTTCCGTTTTTAAGCCCATTCCTTACTGTTTTTAAGGTATGTTTTAAATGAATAACATCCTAATTTGAATATGATCATGTGTGTCTTTTCTTTCTTTTATAATCATCATCTTTGCATCTAGCTTAAGGTATATTTCCTGCTTGGAATTCTAAGTATAGGTCTGTTTTTAACTTTTAAAAGGGTACTAAGAATTACAGTGTTTTTTTTTTTAATGATACAACAGGAAAAGGGCTCCTGTTTTCCTGTGAATAACTACTGTTTGCCTTCATTTACAACAGTTAGTTCTCTTATCATGTTCTCATTTACCACCTCTTATAATCACAAATTCCATACATGCAGTGAAACCATGTTGTAGTTTTTGTTGTGTTTGTTTTATTTTAGTTGGGAGATTACTGCTTCAATCTCAGTACTCTTTATAGATCTGTTTAAGTTGTTTATATTCATTAGGTTTGTTACGTTTGGTAGACAGTATTTCTATCAATTTCTTGTAGATTTTCCAATTTCTTGGAGTCTAGATTTCCAAACAGTTCCTCTGAATTTCATTAGTATGGATCATAATATCACCGTTTTATCTCCAGAATGGTTATTTCTCTGGTTAATTTGATTGTTTTATGCTTTTAAAGAATGAGCTCTTAGTGTCAGTGATTCTTCTATTTTTTATTTCCATTTCATTGATTTCTGCTCCATAATTATTATTTTTCCATCTATTAGTTTTGAGTTTGGCTTTTCTTATGTTTCTCAAACTTGAAGATACATATTAAGTTTTATTTGAGACCCTCTCTTTAATTTAAGCACTTACAGCTTTGAGCTTTCTTCTTACCAATTGCTATATCCCTCAGTTCTTTTAAGTTGTGTTTTCATTTTCATTTGATTCTAGAATTACTACATAGTAATATGAGTAATATGTAATTATTACATAAGCTCATAATTACAAATTTGAATTATCATAAAGTACCTATATCCAACTCGCATAACCGTGGCGAGGAACTTGTCAAGCCTTCCCAGACTCCTTCCCAGTGTGTGGAATAGCTCTTTCCTTCTCACAGAAGTAACCGCTGTGCTTTCCTCTGTAGTAATTGACCTGGCAGTGCTGCTTTCCCCTTTGACTGCTGTTCAAGAAGTTATGTGAGAACGTGAGCGAAGGAGACTAACATATTATCAAGAGTACTGATTTTATTGTAAGGATATCCTGCCTGACCCTAGTGTTAGAAACATGTCACACATCACAGAGCACATCGAGGCCCTGTCTGGAGCTATGGTGGTTAGCTTCGTGAGACTGTTGTTTCTAATGTTCATATTCCTAACAAAACTGTAAATAACATTTTTATCAATTGGGAAATGGGAAGCATGCTAAATCACAGAACCAAAGGAATAAGCAGTCTGTTGGCATGCAGTTTCATGTGTATTTACAATGATAACTCCTGTATACAGTCTGAGTTTTCAGATTTGTAAGGCTTGGCAGCTGTCACTAACTCTAGTTGTATTAACTACAGTATAGTTACAGAACACTCTGTGAGTGCAGACAAACAACAATATACTGTATCAGTTAAAACCATTTCAGTAGCTGTCTTGCTATTTGAGTGTTGAGTGGCAAACTGACAGATGTACTTACATGGCTCATTCTTTACTTTGTGCTGTAGAGTGCATATTTGCTACTTCCTTAAAAGGTACTAGTTCATAATATCAGTTCTTAATGTCAATGTATATCTGGCTACATTTCTCAGAATTTCTGGACTGTTTTTGCATCTATTTCCTACTTACTTTCTCAGGCTTTGGACTGGTGATTTTGTTTTCATAGTCTCTGACACTCAAAAGGCAGATTCCATTTCAGGGTGTATGAGTATTTGAGTGATTGAAGGTCTATATGAGTATAAGTAAATAGTTTGTCATATTTTCAGACACACAAATTAATGTGGTATGTCCATATTGCATGGCACCTTAGCTTGTTTTCTGTTCAAATGAAGCTCGGGACTCTAAGGGATCCTTATAACACTTGGTAAATGCCTGTGGGGGCAAGTACTTTTCCCCAGACAAGGCAATGCTATGAGGCAATGGTCATAGATTCACAGAGGTCACCAAACTGATGGAAGACTGGGGATATAGCTCAGTGGGTAAGAGTTCTTTGTCTGACACAACAAGGGATTCCTGCATAAGTTAGAGGCCTGCCCTATCTTTTTCAATGCTGGTGTTGAAAATGAAGTTAAATTTATGTTTAGGTAGCTTCTCTTTGGGTGAAAAGGGAAACTAAGCATTTTACCATGATTATATATACTCACTGATGCTAGTACACATTCCTCCAAAGGAAAGCTATTTTGCCATTGGTTTTTGTTGGGAATCATGAGCAGAAGTTTGTCATACTGAAGTCAAGATCATAATGTTCCAGGCATTTGGGATAGGGTTGAATACAGGTGATTGTAAAGGGGAAACATTTTAAGTAACTTACTGCAAGGTTCGGGAAGAAAGAAGAGAAGAAGGCTTTATAAAAAATTTTTGACTAGTGGTGGTTTGTGTATTCCTGATAGACCTAATATTTTTTTTCTCAATTTTAATGTCAGTTTAGTACCTTCCATAAGATACTAGAGGGGCTGAAACTGGAATCAAAGCTTGCATATCTAAGCCTTTCTGTAGTTATATATGCTTAAGTGATCTGAGAAAAATTAATTTCCTCTGTGATCATAAGATGCACAGTTATGTGGTGCTGTTTTTCACATGACGTTAAATCTCTCTGGTAAAGATGTTAGTTACCTGTCCTCAACAGTAGCTGTGCATTGCTGCTTTTTACTCTATAAAACCTTCTCAGTGTTAGAGGACAGTGCAAGTGAGGATGGAGCCCCCAGTTTCACAAATACTGGTGTTCTTCTGGGTGAGAGAAAGTCATCAGATGGCCTTTCTTTCTTTCTTTCTTTCTTTCTTTCTTTCTTTCTTTCTTTCTTTCTTTCTTTCTTTCTTTCTTCCTTCCTTCCTTCCTTCCTTCCTTCCTTCCTTCCTTCCTTCCTTTCTTTCTTCATTATGAATACAACATCCTGCCTCCTTGTATGTCTGCACACCAGAAGAGGGCACCAGATCTCATTATGGATGGTTGTGAGCCACCATGTGGTTGCTGGGAATTGAACTCAGGACCTCTAGAAGAGCAGTCAGTGCTCTTAACCTCTGAGCCATCTCCAGCCCCCAGATGACCTTTCTTGGCATGACTTCCAGTCCCAGTGCCACTCTGCAAATTAGGAGCAGCATCAACACTCCATCTGCCTGCCAGTTCACCTCTAGGAAGCTGAAAGCCTAAGACCTGCCATCCTAGGGCAGTGAGACTCCTTTGGCAAGATTCTTGTACCATGAAGACTATTGGAGCCCAAATTAGAGTTCCTAGACTTGGTTTTCCTAATCTGCCTAGCTTATTTAGGCATATCGTATCCTGTTTGCCACAATGCTCTCAGAAGAATGCCCTTTCTTTCTCCCTACATTGAATCACATGGATTGTAGTTCTTTTTCTTCTTTGTTACCATTCTTTTCTCTACATAGCCTTTGAAGACTGCCAATAGTAATTTTTCTTTAGGAGACATGATTACTTACACAAGTACTTTATCAGCTATTAGTGTTGTCCCAGCGAGATATCACAGCAGTCTCCCACACAATATAAGTGGATAAATTATTTATTCACATACCAGTTGCATTAATGGATTTGCAGGGAGAAGAGCTGATATTTTAAAACACTGAGCTGTATAGGAAAAATTAAAATTTTATTTATTGTTCTTATACTAAAGTGTTAAGAATATAAAAATGTGTATAGTTATACTTTTAACCATTAAATACAGTGAATATAAATGAGTATGAATATAGTTATAGGCTATTGAAAAGCAAAATAGAAAGATCTTTTGGAGAGAGGATGAGATAGATTTCAGATTGCTCATGATTTTTATCCCTTATATTGGATGCCTGGGATCAAGGCTACACAGTATCACAGACCTTTCCTACATGATGCTCTGAGTCCAGGGCTGAGAGGGACAGATTATACCCAGTGTGATTAAATGCACTGAGAGATGTATCTATAAGGAATCAGTATCAGCTCAGGACCCCGAAGACCAAGTTCTCAGCACAAAGGAGAATTATTTGTCCCACAGGGACAGAGGGCATGAATAAGAGACAGACAGGAGATAGATGGTGAGGGAGAAGGGGAAGGGAACAAGTGAGAGGGGGCAGGGATTTTTGTCCTGGAGGCACAAAGGACTACCTCTAGATAGAGAGGAGACAGATGTGGACCATAGGAAAATGGTGGTTTATAAAGGGAAAAGCCCATGTTAGGATGAGTTGTCTAATTTTAATTGGGCTTTTGATTGCTGGATTCAATACTTTGAAAACTGGACCCTGGTAGTCAGCCTCAGGAGGAGGAGGTCAAGTAAGAGAACAGACCTTGGTGGCTAGCTGAAGGGATGGAATCTGATGGTTTTTAGCAAGGTAGAGGGAATGGGGGAGAAGGGCAAGGCCTGCCAGAGCCATGTTTGTCCTGCTTGAACTGTCTAGAGTCCTGCAGTGCCTAGGACACTGAGCAAGACTGCAGAGGATGAGACCTAATCTCTATAGACAGTGTAGGAGGGGATAGGGAGTCTGGGAGCATTCCCTGGAAGACAAGTCATTTAAAAGAAGCACAGACATTGAAGTCATGTAAGCAAATTATTGAGCCTAAGAAAGCCTGA